CCTTGGCTGGGGAAGTTGTTGAGGTGCAGAGGACTCTTGGGCCAGACCCCTTTCCTTCCCAGGTGGGCATTCAACCCCCTTCTGAATTGCAGTCCTTTCAGGATCTCCCTGACTCTGTGAGGATCTAAGCTTGGGGCAGTGGCCAGGGAAGGACAGGACTAATCTGAATTTCTGTCCCCAGCTGGCTCGCATACAGACGGACAGCGTGGTGGCAATGCTGAAAGCCTTATACCCAGGCCTGCAGTTTGAAATCAGTGAGTTTTCTGGACAGGAGTGGAAGCCGAGGCGGAGCCCTTACCCCCTGGAGAGGAGAATGCAGTGTTTCTGGCTTTACCTAGGACCAAAGCCTGGTCCTATTGCCTCTGAGAATTCTTCTTGGCTGTCCCCGGCTTGGAGGGCCCTTTCCTCCTCTGAACACCCCGAGCTCTGACTACCTGGGCTAGCCTGGCATTTAGTGTCTTCCACTTTGGGTTTTTTATGTGTGTCTGGTCTTCCTGCTAGATCATACATTCCCAGAGGATGGAGACTGGGGCTTATGTGCCTCTGTATCCACCATGAATCTTAGCACCGTGCTGGGCTCAGCAGGAGCTCAGTAAATGCTGCTCAATAGGTACCTGATTGATTGACTCTCTCCTCAGTTGCTATGTCCACCACAGGGGACAAGATTCTTGATACTGCACTCTCTAAGGTAACAACATTTCTCCCCCCAATCCCATCCCCCGTCCTCTTTCCTTCCTGCAAGAGATTCACTCTGAGGCTCTGTCTTACTTGGCAGATTGGAGAGAAGAGCCTGTTTACCAAGGAGCTGGAACATGCACTGGAAAAGAATGAGTAAGTGAAAGACGGGAGAGTGTGGCTCCTGCCCAGTCTCTTGCTAGGACCCCAGTGCACGTCAGACCTGGATGTCAGCTAGACTGTTGGGCTTAAACCCTTGGATAGGCTAGAGGGGGCTCATCTGTGGGTTTTTCAGGCCTCAGAAAAGGAGAGTGTACTGCTTCTGAACCATCTAGCTGCCTGGAGTGCAGGATTGGGTTGGGAAGGGGGTTAGGAGGGAAAGGAAGAGGGGAGCAGGGTCCCGAGGTCTTGGAAAGTCCTGCTTCCTGAACTGCTCTAGGCTCTGCTACTGAAGTAGAGGCAGGAATAGATGGAGAAGGGGGCGTCTGCTGCTTGGACCCCTTCTCCTTACCTCCGTCTCCTGTCTTTCTAGAGTGGACCTGGTTGTTCATTCCCTGAAGGACCTTCCCACTGTGCTTCCTCCAGGCTTCACCATTGGTGCCATCTGCAAGTAAGAGTCCTGCCAGTCAGGGGGCCTGGGCAGGCATCGTGCTGACTTTGGCTCTTCCCTTCGGGATTTGGCCCTCCACCTCTAGGCCTGTCTCCCCTGCCCTGAGGAGTGTCAAGCATGACAGAAAACTCGGGAAATGCCAAGTAGTTGGCTATTGAGAGAGCCTGGAAGTGACCTCATTCTGTGACCTTCTCTCCACACCCAGGCGGGAGAATCCCTATGATGCCGTTGTCTTTCACCCAAAATTTGTTGGGAAGACCCTAGAAACCTTGCCAGAGAAGAGGTGAGTGGGGCCTGGAGAGGTGTCTTGGTGGGATGTGCACAGAAGATGGAGGGTTGGCAGAAGGAGGAAAGGAACAGTACCTGCTTAGGATTAAATCTCATTTAAATCCTCTCTGAGCAGCGTAGTGGGAACTAGCTCCCTGCGGAGAGCGGCCCAGCTACAGAGGAAGTTCCCGCATCTGGAGTTCAAGAGTATTGTATCCTTTTAGAGGAGGGTGCGGGCAGCAGCCAAGGAGGAAGATGAGGTCCAGAGGACCCTGGGGTTCCTGAGAGTAGAAGGGGCTTCTATAGGAAGTGGACCATGGGGGCAGTGGGCTGTCTGTCCTCCCATCATCCATGCATCCATCCATCGATTCTTAATCCTTTCATGTTTTCCCAGCCCCAGGCAAGTGCCTGGCATTGGGGATAATAGTGAGCAAGATCAACATTGTCTCTGCTTATATAGAGTTTACATTTTTTTTTTTCTTAAAGATTGGCACCTGAGCTAACAACTGTTGCCAACTTTTTTTTTTTTTCCCTTCTTCTTCTTCTTCCCAAAGCCCCCCAGTACGTGGTTGTATATTCTAGTTGTGAGTGCCTCTGGTTGTGCTATTGGGACACTGCCTCGGCATGGCTCAATGAGTGGGTGCCATGTCCACCCCAGGATCCAAACTGGCAAAACCCTGGGCTGCTGAAGTGGAGCCTGCGAACTTAACCACTCAGCCATGGGGCCGGCCCGAGTTTCCATTTTGGTTTGGAGACAAACAGGCATTGATAATACAGAGTGATATTGAACAGTGATTACTTCTGGGTAGGGGATGGAGGTGCTTCCATTTTTATTTTATATTCTATATTGTTTTGATTTTTACAATGAGTATATAATATGTTTTGTCAAATTAAAACTGTATGTGCTAAGTGCTCCAGTGCTCAAAGTAGGGACTTCCTGGAAGCTTCTAACTGGAACATCTAAACAGACTTGGGGGTCAGAAAGGCTTCTTAGAGGTCTTATAACCTTGGGCAGGTTCTTTAACCTCTCTGTATCATTTTCTTTACCTGACATGGAGATAATAATAATGGGGAAAATAATAATAATAATACCTACCTCATGGGGTTGCTGTGAAAATTAAATGAGTTGACACACGTAAAACACTTTAGGACAGTATCTGGCATGTAGTAAGTATGAGGTAAGTGTCAGGTGTTACCATTAAGCTGAGAATTGAAAGATGAAAAGTTAGCCAGATAGAAAGGGAATGTTTCAGGCAGAGGGAACAATGCTCATGGTCCTTAGCATCTCACCGTAGCGGGGAAACCTCAACACACGGCTTCGGAAGCTGGATGAGCTGCAAGAGTTCAGTGCCATCATCCTGGCCGCAGCTGGCCTGCAGCGCATGGGCTGGCAGAACCGGATGGGGCAGGTAGGGGCTGCCCCTGTCGCCTCTCCAGTTAATCTTCGTCCCCCTCTTGCCTGTATTCTCTTCTTGAACACCTCCCCTCTAACACTAAAATCTGGAAATGAGTTCCAGGCTGGGAAGATTGGGGATCACAGGCCAGAGTCTCACTTTTGCCTATGCAGGCTTTGTATATGATAGGGAAGCCCCATCTCACTGCTGTTTGCTTTCAGGCACCCCCATCTCCACCCTTCTGACTGCCTCTTCTGCCTCCACAGATCCTGCACCCTGAGGAATGCATGTATGCTGTGGGTCAGGTATGCTTGAACAGGGAGCCATGTCTTGATGTGCCCCTTCCCTTTGTTTTCAGCTCAGAAGCTGGGCACACAGCCTTCTGCGTCTGCTCCCCCCAGCATAAACACTCCCAGGGAGGGGCAGGCTTTGGGAGACTGCTGTACCAAAAGCCCTTGGGGAACAGCTGGAGATGGGCTGGTTCTCACCCTTGGCACCATTGGTTGGGGAAAGATCGGGCCTGATGTTCTAGGCTGTTTTTCCATCAGGGGGCCCTGGGCGTGGAAGTCCGAGCCAAGGACCAGGACATCTTGGATCTGGTGGGTGTGTTGCATGATCCTGAGACTCTGCTTTGCTGCCTCGCTGAACGGGCCTTCCTAAGGCACCTGGTAGGGCCTGTGCTCCACCTGTGGTGGGGGGGGACTTGGGACGTTGGGAAGGGTATTGGGGAGATTTCTTAAATTAACACTGTTATTTAGTGGTAACTCATTGTTGAATGTTGTCTATAAAGAGTGCCCAAATCTGGGCCCCTAGCCTTCTTTTCAGTTTTATCCTCAGAGGTCTGTCTCTGAGGGCTCTGGTCACAGGGTAGTGTTAAGGGTCCTTGCAGCTCACAGGGAGAACGTCTCGTTGCAGGAAGGAGGCTGCAGCGTGCCAGTAGCAGTGCATACAGCTATGAAGGATGGGCAAGTAAGCAGGGGAAGATGGATGGAGGGCAAGGAAGGACTGTGGCATTTCTCTGTGCATCCCGAGTTGCCAGTGAGAAGAGCCCAGGTTTCTAAGCAGTTCTCTTTCAGAATATGCTGAGGCAACCACTTTCTTTCCCAGCTGTACCTGACTGGAGGAGTCTGGAGTCTGGATGGCTCAGATAGCATGCAGGAGACCATGCAGGCCACCATCCACGTCCCTGCCCAGGTGCCAAGGCTGCAGGCTGAGGGAGAGGGTAAGAAAGAAGTCTGCATGTTACTTTCCCTTTTTTTGCTCACCAAATCCACCCTCCTTCCCTCATCCAGCATGAAGATGGCCCTGAGGATAATCCACAGCTGGTGGGCATCACTGCGCGGAACATCCCACGAGAAGCCCAACTGGCTGCTGAGAACCTGGGCATCAGCTTGGCCAACTTGCTGCTCAGCAAAGGAGCCAAGAACATCTTGGACGTTGCACGGCAGCTTAATGACGCCCACTAACTGGTCTGTGGGGCACAGGTGCCTAGGTTGCTGCTGCTCTCCAGTGCCTACAACCCAGCCCTCAGTGCCCCATTCTCACTGCTAAGTGGGGAGTGATTACCCCAGTTAGGGGGCTCGACTGCAGGGTCAGAGACTTCCAGGGACTTGCCTCACCTTGGGGCCTTGGTGACTGCCTTGCCTCCTCAGTAGGTAGAGGCTCATCTCTTTAGACAAAGTCCAAGCCACAGCCTTTGAATGTTACCACCTCTACTAATAATAAACCAGCTCTGAAGGTGTTTGTTTTTGGTTTTGGTGGGGTTGCAGGAAAGATAAGGACAAACACAAAACTCTTTACTCCTTACTTTGGAGACTGAGACCTATGTCCAAAGTTCCGTAACACAATTTCTGTCTCAACAGTTCTCATTTCGAACAGAATAAACTGTCTTCCAGGGAGCGCGAACAAAGAGCCACAATCTTAAAACGATGGCTTGCTCCTCTCGAGTAAACCATAGAGCCTTATATCCATAGCCCCCCACCCCCACTACCTCACGAGAATAGTCTACAAAGTCATCAATCTTACAACTTTCACAAAATGAAAACGGAGACTCCTTCTTAAAAAACAACCCTTTAATAAACAAAATTAGTCCATCTCAAACTCCCCAATACCTAAGGTACTAGTCTTGGATGGGTTAGCTGCAAAATTCCAGTTCAAAAGCCGGAGGCTCAGTCCAGACGGGACTAACGGACTTGTGCTGGTATCTAGGAGCTTGGCTTGCCGAGCGGAGCTGCTGGAAGGGAAGCGGGGCGGAGTGGGCAGGCCCGAAGGCCTCGCTGCCGGGCGGCCGCAGCAGCGCGCACAACTCCCGCTGTCCACACGGCCGGCCGGGGACCCGGACCGGAGACCTCGCCCCTCCCCCCAGCTCCTCCTGGGAGGCAGTCGTCTCCGGAGGAGAGATGTCCCCGTTACAGTGCTCCGTCCTGGCCACACCGCACAGGCCCGCGGATGAGAATGGAGGAGGCTGATGCGAAAGCCCGGATGGGGCAGCAAAAGGGGCACCAGGACACACGAAGCGATCCATTTCTCCCCACCGGAGCCTGGAAATCCGCAGTCCTGTCTGACAGGTCCCGACCAAGCACCAAGCTGGAGAAGTCCCGGACGACCAGGCTGCAGGGGTCTGCTGGCGGCCGCCGGCCCGCCGCGCGCCTCAGCTCAGCCCTGCGTCAGAGCGGCCAGCCAAGTCTTCCAGAAGGCGCCGCGGCTCCCCGCGGCCCATCGGCGGCTCCGAGGACAGGCCGGCCGAGTCACGAGCTCCGGGGTGCCAGCCGAGCAGAGCCGGGGCCGGGCGGCCGCCCCTCTCCGGAGAACGGGAGCCGGGGCCCGCGAGGGGGAGGGGCGGGCGGCGGCGGCGGGGATGAGGAGGGGAGGCCGAGCGCCGCGGCCGCTCGTCCCGGAGCCCGGCGTGGCCCAGCTCTTTCCGTGAGGGCTGTAGTGGCCCTTAAAAGGGCCTTTGTGGTGGCATTGGGGGGCCGGGCGGCCTGGGGCGACGCGGGCGCCCCTCAGTACTCCTGGGAGGCCTGGGTGGCCTTCTTGCCGCCCGCGGGTGCCTTCGGCCCCACGGTGGCGCTGGTCTTCTTGGGCAGCAGCACGGCCTGGATGTTGGGCAGAACGCCTCCCTGAGCGATCGTCACGCCGCCCAGCAGCTTGTTGAGCTCTTCGTCGTTGCGGATGGCCAGCTGCAGGTGGCGGGGAATGATCCGCGTCTTCTTGTTGTCGCGGGCCGCGTTGCCCGCCAGCTCCAAAATCTCCGCGGTGAGATACTCGAGCACCGCCGCCAGGTACACCGGCGCGCCGGCGCCGACCCGCTCGGCGTAGTGACCCTTCCGCAACAGCCGGTGTACGCGGCCCACCGGGAACTGGAGGCCGGCCCGCGACGAGCGCGACTTGGCCTTGGCGCGGGCCTTGCCGCCGGTCTTGCCGCGGCCCGACATGGTGCGCGAGGTAGAAAAACGGAGAAGAGGTCCGCCTCGAGAACGCCAACGAGGAGCCGCCCGCCGCAGTCCAACTGCCGCCGCGCGCGCCCACAGGCCGCCCTTATAAGCCCCCAGGGCACACCTCCGCGCCCTCCTGATTGGCTCTTTTCTCTAATACCCGCCTCCGGTTGGTTGCGATTAACCCTTCAGTGACGTGCCTCGGCTGAGGGAGCGCGCCCGCCGATTGGTCAAATTTGAAAACCCTTTGCCCGGGTAAAAAGGCGAGGAGGAGTGGCGGCACGCGGACAGCCAACCACTCCCAGATGTAGCCAATCCATGTGAAGCGCGCGAGATTTAAACGCTACAGCCGGAGACCAGAACCGGAAGACAAAGGGGGTGGAGTCTGAAGTCGCCTCAAGAGCCTCTGGGAAATCTGGGCCGGCCTGGATTTTTAAAGGAAAGCGGTCAATACTACACTTATCTCTGCCTCCCCCTCAGGTCTCTCACTCCCTCCCCACTCCTCTCCCCTCCTATGCGGCAAAGGGATAGTGAAAAAGGAAAGAAATGAGACTCCGTGAAAATTCGATCCCAAAACAGAGAACAGATAACTCCAATCCTATGGCCCTCCATGCCACCTGAAGTATCAGGATTTCAATATTTATTCAACGTGTTCTGCCTGGTCTCAGCTCTTTCTGTTCACTTCTTCATAGAAGGGGCCTGGTGTACTGAAAAGAAAAAGGTTGGGGCGGAGAGAGGCATCCTCTTGGAGGAGCTGCCTCCACCAACCCTCCCAATCTACCCTAAAAAGCCCATATAGGAAATACACCTACAGGAACGACAAAAAGAAAAAACCACTTTATTGTCACCACAAGGAGCACTTGGCCCCCAGGTCAGCTCTTACTAATTAGAATACTTAATTTATAGGCAAATGTCAAGTCATCTTTCCAGCCTGTGTCCCTATCCGCAGCCAGGGTTCTAGCCCCAGGCCCAACAAATTCCTTGAGAGTCAGAGTTGTAGATAACTGCATAAAAGCTTCAGTATCCCACCTTAGGAGGCTGCAAAGATGGGATGGAGAGGGAGAGTGGCAAGTTGAAGAAAGCCATAGGCAAAGTCCAATCAATAATCACCAGAGGGCAAGAAAAGCCCAGGATGTCCATAATCACAGGGCAAAGGAAATGCTGAGGACAAAATCTGTAGGAAAATGAAGGGTGGGAGAGGCCTGGGCCAGAAGGCAGTCCTGGTCCAGAAAGAGGTTGGCCTGAGTCAGGAACCCCCGAGACTGTGAAGTAAAGGGCAATGATCACGGGACTCAGACATCATAGAAGAGTCGGACAAGCTGGTACCGAATGGAGAAGGTGACAGCACTGCCCAGGATCTGCAAGGAGAAATGGACTAGAGTAAGAACCATGGAGAAAGGGAGACAAAGAGGCGTGAACCCCATCCTCAACCGTACCTGTAGCAGCAGCAGGAACAGGGTAAGATTTCTCTCATGCATGGGCCCAAAGACTTTAAGTAGCAAGTTAATGAGGGTCATGTTGTTACACTCGGTGAAGGCACCATCCTCATTCTCACTCTGGCGCACTGTCACAAGCTGGAGGCTCTCTGCTACCTGGAGGGGCCAGGGGTGGAGAGAACTTCAGCTAATACCTATGCTTCAGGAATGCGATCTGCCTAATGCTTCCAAACTCCCCTTGGATCTGACGCAGGCCTAGGTTCCCCATTCAGGGTAGCGGCCCTACCTCCTTGTTATCCTGTTACCTTTAGAATAAAGGTGCCCAAGAAAGAGAGGCTCTTGGTCTTGAACTTGGAATAGCTCATCTCCAGTTTGCCTGTCTTGGTATTGAGTCTGCAGGGGGAAGAGAGCTTTATGTGACTGGGCAACTAGTCAAAGAACTCTCCTCATGGCGGTTAATTACTAGGAAGAGCACCGAATGTGGAGTCAAACAACCTGACATCTATTTCTGGCTCTGCTGCTTACTACTGTGTGATCAGAGCTGCTGTGAACATTAAATAAGATTATGTAAGTAAACGTGCTCTGTAATTTATAAAGGGCCAACTACATGGAAAGAGTTAGCTCTTCTTTGGGCCCACTCCCTTTGCACAGCAAATTTATAAGGCTGACTTTATGCATCCCAAGTGAAAAAGCTATGATGTCCCTTTCAAGCCCTAAGTGGCTACCTGGGTATACGGTGGCGAGGGCACGGGATGATATGCAGGAGTTGAGGCAGTGAGTAGAGGAAGTTGAACACCTGGGGCATGAAGAAGAGTAGCATGGTCTTGCTGAAGTGTCCCAAGATGCCCACCACGGCAAAGGTCATGCCAGCAAAGTAACAGAAGGTATCTCCCACAAACACCCGTGATGGGTACCTGTGCAGGGGAGAGAACCTGAGCCAGTGGCAAGAGGCATGACCAATCCTCTCACATCCCACACCTTGGTACGAGGCTAGTCTTGACCCCAGTTGTGGCTCGAAGGAGACTCTAACTCTCCCAGCAACTCTCCAGGACCCAAGGCCCTGAATTCATCTCTTCCTGGGGGTTCCACAGCACTTGTGCCCAACTACTGCTGCGTAGAGAGCAATTTAAGAATATTACCAACTGAAGACGCAGAAAACACTCAACACAGGTATGCGCAGGTATAGCTTCTCCACCAGCAGATGGTCATGATCAGGACCATACTTGCCTCATGTTCAAATAGTTGTCCCCTTATCAATAGTCCTACTTACCAGTTATGATAGAGCAATCCCAAGGTGGTGAAAAAAAAGGGTATCATGAAGTAGAGGGAAAACACATGATCATCTCGATAATCACCTTTGGAAGCAGGGGGAAAGAAAGAAGGAAAAGTTGATAGCCACTTCCCCTGCATTGCTTGGTCCTATTTTTGTCTGTGTCTAAGTTCTGTCCCAAGCTGTACTGTCCACCTCTCCCAAGTGACATTCAAGAAGTTACTACCCCTTTTATGTCATGCAGGCAATTGCCAATATTCCACCTCTTTCATGAACTCTTCCTAAACTAGTTACTGTCTTAAATTTGGTTTAGACTGTTCAGCCCTAGCTTTGAATGCCAGCTTTACTTCCTAACTGTGCAACCTTGATCACGACACATTTAACTTTTCTAAAGCTCAGTTTCCTCATCTGTAAAATACAGTTGACGACAACAGCTGCCACAAAGAGCTTGGTTACAAAGTTTAAAGGAGATCATGTTTTAAAAGTGCTCTTAGCTTTAATAAGCACTTACTGATGTCTATCAGCCAAAGACCACCAGAAACACATCTGTAGTCAAAGCTGGGTTTACTGACTTGTTGTAACAAGGGAGACTGGAAACCACACGCCACGAGGAATCACAGGATGCCTGAGTAAGGGGGAGTTAGGCAGACTTGTTATAGGATTTAAGTAATTCTGGGGAGGATGCAAGGAGGCACTGTTTTGCCCTGGACTGGGTGCTGTCAGCAGGAGTAATTCTTAATAATTTTTATTAATTATTATTTTTTTTTTCAAAGATTTTAATTTTTTCCTTTTTCTCCCCAAAGCTCCCCAGTACATAGTTGTATATTCTTTGTTGTGGGTCCTTCTAGTTGTGGCATGTGGGACGCTGCCTCAGCGTGGTTTGATGAACAGTGTCATGTCTGCGCCCAGGATTCAAACCAACGAAACACTGGGCCGCCTGCAGCAGAGTGTGCGAACTTAACCACTCGGCCACGGGGCCAGCCCCTAATTTTTATTAATTATTAATTCATCTTAATTTTTATCTAGGACGTGGGAGGAACTCTTCAGTGGTTATCTGAAGGAAGCAGCAATCACTCATATTAGCCAGAACAGGGGCAGCTTGGTCATTTTTGTGGGATGCACAGTGTTCTTGTAGTTTTATCTATGCTCACACATGGTTATGGAGGGGTCTGGTTTTTGTCTTACTTGATCATGGTCACAGAGTGACCCTGTCTGATTTTCAAGTTCTATGAAATTGTTTATGTTCAATAAGAGAAGACCACAGCCTACCAATTAGTGCCAATCCGGCTATAAATGACAGGGCTGCTATCTTCCTTTCTCACATTTAATGAATCTTAGTTATTTGCAAAGTAAATAGGTTCCCTTAGCTTCTATAATTACTCACATATTGCTTTCTTTCTGAATTCCCCAAAGCCAGATATCAGGAAAACGTAACACTCAGACTTTTCTTTACCTCCAATCCCACCTACCTTCCAGCTCCACCAGGTTGAAGACAATGATGGAAGCAGAAATGACTAACGACTGGCCAGCCTCTAGGCCGTTAATTCCTGCTAGGATATTGATGGCATTGGTACAGAATACTGCCAGCAGCCCCATGTAGACATAGTACAGGATCCCTAGAGGGGGAGAAGACAGAAAGAAAAAAGGAGTATCACCTATAGAATGATGATTGAAGAATAGCCTTCTGAGACAAGTGGTGAGGACAGAGGATAGGATGAAGGGCCAACAGGAAGGATCTGAGAAGACACAGGGACACTTGGAGGAGAATGTGGAACACCAGGAAGGATGCTTTGCTGGATGTCTCACGGAGTAAGGGTGCCCTGAAGTAGGGGCCATAGGGGCAGTGGTGGCAGGGCTACTCACCCAAGTCCAGATGCAGGCCAAGAATTGGACGGAAAGGCTTGGGTACCACAATGGTCGTGTTGCCAAAGTTGGTAAAATAGACCATGAGAAGAGGTAGTGAGGCAGCTGTGGGCAGCAGCAGCTTATGGCGCCAGCGCAGATTCAGTACATCATCCGCGAAGCCCAGAAAAATCATGCAGCAGATGGCAAGGAGCGCACCTATCAGGGCCACAAACTGGGGGAGGCTCGCGCAGGTCACAGCTGGAGCCTACTCCCACTTCACCTTTCCTTTCAAAAACGCCTGTCTTTTCGTTCCTTCCTCAGCCCCTCCCCTAAGCCCAAACACCCCCAACTCTCTCAGGTAGCTCCCAGCCCCCAACCCCAGGCAACCGCCCCCACTAACCCACTTACTTCGTGGTGGGGGAAGGCTTTACACTGCTCCTCCACAAAGCAGTTCAGGAAAGGGAAAGGGATGAAGCAGAAGAGGATGATAAGGAAAACAGCACCGCTGATCACTCCCTGGGACTCTGGGCTGTGTCCCAGCAGAAAAGGGGTGGAGGGGGAACAGGAAAGGGGGTGTGGTTACTCACTAGTGCAGGCATTACAGTAACCTAATGCAGGGGAGGGCACCCCTGCCGCAGTCCCTGATACACCCGAGGATCACCCCCATCCTCTCCCCAGTGCTAAACAGTTCTGCCCTTCACCTCCCAGAGTCCCGGGCTGTGTGCTGGGTGAGCGCTCCGTCTTCGCGCGCAGTCCAGCACCCAGGTCCCCGCTCCTGCCCTGCCCACCCCTGTCCCCAGCCCGGGACCCGTGTGCCGCCGCTCACATCTGCTGCCGGTCGGATTTGTTGAGGTCCTGGCCACAGAGGCGCGCGGCGATGAAGTGGCCACGGAAGGCGGGGATGAGGGTGAGTGTGGCCACAAATCCCAGCAGCGAGCCGATCAAATTCACCAGCAGCGGCATCGGCAACTCCGGGAAGGCCCACATGGTGACCGGCCGGGGGGTCCGCTCCGCCAGCTCCTCAGATAACGGGCAAGTCGGGCAGAAGCCCTGAGCCCCCAGCAGTTAAGAAGTGGCCGCTCCCCACAGGCTGGGTTTTCCTACACCAGCCTGACCAAACCCCAACAACTCTGACTAGAGCCGTCCTGGGGACTCCCGCGAGCCTCTATAAGTCATCCTGCGCTCCGCCCCACCGTACTTGCGTACCCTCTGTTTCCGCCCGGATCTTGTTCGCAGAGCAACTATCACCGCGGAAGGCGGAGGCGGCCATTTTTAATATGGGCATAAGCGTAGGGACAGAAGTGTTACTTTAGACTACATCCTTTATTCCAAAGTTGAGTCATCATAGTGTTTTGAAAAAACAATTAAAGAAAAACAAATACCAGAGAAAAGGGAACCTTCGTGCACTGTTGGTAGGAATGTAAATTAGTGAACTACCATACGATCCAGCAATACCACTTCTGGGTGTTTGAAGAAAAAGAAAACACTAATTCGAAAAGATATACGCAACCCTATGTTCATTGCAGCATTATTTACAATAGCCAACATGCGAAACGTGCGAAAGCAGCCTAAGTGTCCACGGGTAGATGAATGGATAAAGAAGATGTTTTATATATATATATATAAACACACACACATATATAAATAAATTTGTTTATTTTAAAAATGGAGTATTAGCCATAAAAAAGAATGAATTCCACGTATTAGGAACAACACAGATGGATCTAAAGGATATCGTGCTGAGTGAAATAAACCAGACAGAGAAGGAAGAATACTATATGATTTCACTCATATGTGGAATCTAAAAAACAAAACAAATGAACACAAAACAAAACAGAAACAGACTCAGATACACAGAACAAATTAGTGGTTGCCAGAGGAGAGGCGGTTCGGGGGAAGAGAGAAATAGGTGAAGCGGATAACAGATACAAACTTCCAGCCATAAAATAAATGTAATGGGGATGTAATATACAGCACAGGGAATATAGTCAACAATACTGTAATAACTTTGTATAATGACAGATAGTTAACTAGTCTTATCAGGGTAATTATTTTGTAACGTGATTAACTGTTCAATCACTATGTTGTCAACCCGAAACTAACACAATATTGTATGTCAACTATACTTCAATAAAGAACAAAGGAAGGGAAAAAAGACAAAAGCGGATACTTTAACATCATATTAAAAACGTACAGCCAAAAGCGGAAAAACTCGTTGCCCGATTCCAAGATGAACGACTCCTTGTACCACGTGTCTGACGCCGCTCACACTCGATTCCACGTCAGTTTTAGCTCCGTCCGCCTCCGCAGGTCACGTTTAAAGGGGCAGTACCCCGAGTTTACCCTGGGATACCTCTGGAGCGAGAAGATGGCTATTGGAAGCAAGGAGGAGGGCAGGAGGGATGAGGATGTGGAGCAGCGCCTGCTCCTTGTAGAATACCTGTTGCCCGCGTAGTCGAAAGCCAAGGTAAACTCAACTCAGTTCCAGGAAACGCAGCTACAATTTGGAAGATGATGTAAATTCTACAGCGTAGACGCTTGAAAAGCTCCTCCCACTCCGTGTTTTTCTTGTGCTTTTCCTTCATCGTCCCACCCACCTGCGCCCCCGCAGTAGCAGTTCGTTGCCAGGCAACCTAGCGGGTCACATCGCCATTGGAGGGGCTGGGAGTGTCCCCTTGGAGTTAACCGGTTCTTAACTTTCCTTGGTCCTGGATCGCTGCATTGTCCAAGCTCCCAATCCGAGGAGGCGAGGCTGAGGTGTTGGAAAGAGCTGAAGAAGCAGGAGAACCAGACTTAGACGTGGCTTCCTGTGAGCCTGAGAAACTCCCAGTCAGGTTTCTTCCTCCAGGTTACCGTGCTTGGCACCTGTTTCCTTGCAAATAAGAGTTCACCAGCATCTTCATTCTCTTTCATGCACACAGAGGCTCTTTGGCAACTGATTTCCATTCCTCAGGGAGGAAATCACTACCAGGGAGTTCCGGAGAGGACTCAAGTATCCTGGCACTTTGTGCGCTCTTTCAATTATAGCGTGCTCCAGGAGTCGGGTCGGGTTGACTCTTTTTAGGCCAAAGATAGTTCCTCCTGTCTCTCAAAATCAGATGTGAAATGTCTCTTCTACTTGAAGATGGCTTTAATTAACAATAAAAAGCCATATACATATAAAATATACTTTATACATATAAAGTAAACCCAGTAATTTATTGATTTTCCACCAAATTTTCAGTACCTATTATCTCACTGGTATTGTTTTTGGATGTGTGTATGGGCGTGTGTGTGCATCTGTGCCTCTTAGCCTGGGAACTCCCTAGAGGCAAGTGTTTTCTGTTCCACAGGGTGTCCCCATGGGGCTAAGGACATACAGATATCTGTATATAAGGCATCATCAAACATAATGGATCTGATCTGAAAGAGGTACAGAAGGCACTAGGAGCGCATGCAGGGAGCAATTAGTTGTGACTAGGGGAAGTGAGAGGACCTTGAGAAGGAGTAGTATCTCCAAAGATTTTAGTAGGTGGCAAGGGTGGGAGGACCTTCCAAATGGAGAAAATAAGGCGCCAGGAGCAGGTGGAAAGGAGGAGCTTGTGGGAGCCTCAGAGGAGGCAGCCTTCAGTTATCTTGTTGATCAGGAGCAGGCTGAGACTCCCTGGAGATCTGAGGGACTGTCTGTATGTGTTTCCTTTTTTATTAGGAGGCCAATCCTAATAAATCTTCCTTCCCAGCCTTTGTCTCTTTCTTCTCTAGAGATCATTAGCATCCCCACCCTCCTGCCACTGCCACTAGAAGAGGGTGGGGGCTCGTTCAAACATAAGACACTAGGGATTAATCATCCACGTATACATGTTACCATCAGAACCTGGTTACTTGGATACTTGTCATATCATCTGAATATTTTTTTTCCTGTGATGGTAAATACCCAGTTGATTATTAGACTGATTAGAAGGAGAAACAAACAAACAAACACATGACTTGGCCTCACTTGAAATTTTGTGCCTTTCCTGGTAAAAGTTCAAAACATTTGCCTGAATGCTGAAGCTGGTCCTAGGACCCACAGATCAGGCGAGCTGTCAATGGCTTTCGCTGGTTTCTTGGGCGGAGCAGACACTGTCTGCGATGCTCATCTCCTACTCGGGAGACCTTAGTGCCTCCCCGTGAGCAAGGCCAATCCACTGTTCAGTCTGATTGCTTGACAAAGCCTGTGGCAAAAATGTTTCACAGTGCCTAAAATACCACAAGACATCTTTGGATAGTCTGGGGCTATGACACTTGCAGGACTATATCTGTGGTTCTTTCCAAGCAGCTTTTCCTTTTCTTCCTGCCTCTCACCTATCAGTTTATCAGAAGTTGTGAGCCAAAAGCAAGCCCCAAGATTGCCCTTCCTATTGGGATGACATGAATGATTTTCAAAAGATGGAAACAGTATAGAAATTCTTATGGTTTACGTCTATACTGAAATATTTTCTGTTAGACTTCTTAAAGTTACAAAGAACTTGCTAATCCCTACTATGTACATAGGGGACTCTTAATACTGTGGGGACACCAAGTGATATAAACGCACTTGTTTCCCCCAAGGAGGCTACTTCAGCTTATTAAAGCACTTTGGTTGAATATGAGAGAAGAGAAATGAGTAAGAAGGGTCCCTACCCTTCAGCAGCTTCCTGACGAGTGGGAAAAGCAGACATATAAACAACCAGCTAGACTATAAGGCAGAATGAAATAAATGCTAGAGGTCTGAGTAACAAGTGGAAGGGAGATTGGGAGGACCGGCTAGGGAGACTCATGTAAGGCCGAATTGTGAAGCAGCATCTGGCAGCAGAGGACAAAGTGCTCAGTGGAGGGCCTGAGGAAGGAGATCCAAGAACTCAGAGAACTGAGATCCTTGGGAGGTTGGAGGGTTCCTGAAGAAGGGTTCTTGGGGGAAGAGGGTCTTCAAAGTGAAACTTTGCGCCTGGACAACTTCCTGCGCAGCCTGCTCCCCTAGCCCTAGCTGCTCTGCCCGCTGACAGCTTCCTCCTGCGTCTCTGGGTTCTGGCCCCATGTCTCTGAGTTCTCTCTTCCCTTCATTTCATTTCTTCTCCTCCCCTCAAGATTCGAAACCCACACTCTAGGAATCTTCCATGGTTTCTGGAGTCCAGTGATGATGCATGGGCAGGGCCACAGCAAGGTTACCCCATCACCTCCCCCCTCCCCATCATTTCTTACAGTGAAATCCAGGGATGCCCCAGGCTTCCTCACCACCTCTTCTGGTTCAGGCACCCTGTTGCTGACCTGCCAGGCTCTGCCTAGCTCTGCGATCCCACACTTTAGAAGGCATTGTTTACTCTCAGGTACTCATTCCTCAGACTACTGACTGGATTTGGAAGGGAGCTGTTTAACACGTTCCCTGTCTACCTCTCTAAGGAAGGCGCTGTGTGCCAAAGACCTTGCCATCTGTATGTGGAGAAGAAGGCCTCGTGGGGAATAGGGATTCCTTTAAATCCCTTTGTATGATTTTCCTCCTCCTGTCTCCGGAAAGCAATGACAAGCCCCTGTTCTATAGGAATGGAATCCACTCCCTTAAATCTAGGAAAAGGGATGGATCCTGAGGTTAGACTGTAATTATAACATTATTTTGGGGGTGCCTGTTGGGATATCGCATATTTGGATGGCAGGGTCATCTGGCTGAATCTATTGATAGTCCAGGGCTACATTGCCAGCTCCCTCCTCATTACCACCCCCTCTACACGTGCTCCACAGGCAGCAGTTGTTACTATGGAAATATATTATTTTTAAAAACAGAAGCAGCCCCAGGCTTGGGAAACATCTCCAGAACAAACCACATGAGCAAGGAGGTTAATAGGGTGTTGCTGGGTCCTAGCTCCAAGGGGAAGGAGAGTGGGGGGATGGAGGAGGTTTAATATTCCATGTTCTATTCTCAACCTCTACCAGGGTCAGGTTCTGCCCTCTCTCTGGCAGGAATCATCTGGACCTCTGTCAGGCACTTCTAGCTAAGAGGGCTGCTCTGCACCTACTTACCCAGGGCCTAGCTTTGGCCAGGAAATGGGAGCCAAGGTGCTGCTGAGCCTGGGGGTGTTTGGAGAAGGGGTCTATGCTATCCACAGAGGTCTAAACTATAGAAATCTAAGGAGCGTGGGGGAAAGCAGAGGCGGCATCTCAGGTAAGTGAAGTTATCTTTGCCTACTCTTGCCGAGAGCTCGAGCTCAGGGGAGGAGGAGTACCCCGATTCCAGGATGGGGCGGGGCGGTCAAAGATCCCTCCTGTTTTCAACCCCGGAACCTCCTCCCGTCCTGGCTAGTCCTCCCGCCCTCCTCCAGCGCCTGAGCGCCGGGCTCACCAAGCCCCGCCCGGCGCGGGTGCGGCTCCTTTAAGGGCGGGTGGGGGCGGGGCGCCGGCCGTGTTGTCAGTGTCAGCTCTGCGCACGCAACCCTCCCGGAGCCGGTGCCGGCCCGGAGCCCCCGCGTCTCTGCAGACGAGTCCCCGCCCGGGTCCGGCGGGGCCCGCGCCGTGGGAGGAGTCGGGCGCTGGCCGACGACTAGCCCAGGTCGGACTGCCGGACCTACAGAGGAGGGACCGGGACCACAGAGAGAGGGACCCCAGCGTCAAGACCCCCCAGGACCTCCTCTCATCGATCTGTGGCACCCACTAGTCCCGGGCACCCAGCCCCGGAGAGCCCCCGAGCCCGCGCGCCCAGCCCCGGGGGAGCCCGCCCCCGCCCCGCGGCCCGCCCGGGCCATGCTCCCCCGGGGCAGCGGCTGAGCCTGAGCCGGGACCGGGACCGGAGCCCGCACGGAGCATGGATCCGGGCTGGGGGCAGCGGGACGTGGGCTGGGCGGCCCTGCTGATCCTCTTCGCCGCCTCGCTGCTCACGGTGTTCGGCTGGCTGCTGCAGTATGCCCGGGGCTTGTGGCTGGCGCGGGCCCGCCGGGGCCGGGGCCGGGGACCCGCCTTAGCTGCCGAGCCCGCGGGCTCCCTGCGGGAGCTGGGCGTATGGCGCTCGTTGCTGCGGCTGCGGGCGACTCGGGCCGGCGCCGCTGAGGAGCCAGGTATCCGGGGCCTCCTGGCGTCGCTCTTCGCCTTCAAGTCTTTCCGGGAGAACTGGCAGCGGGCTTGGGTGCGAGCGCTGAACGAGCAGGCCTGCAGGGACGGGGTGAGTTGGACAGGAGCACCTACGTGGTCCGCTCACTCAGCCTTTGCTTTCAGGGGAGGGACTGCTCATGCCAGGAAGCCGGATGGGGGTGGGGATCAACTGGGGAACCCCCATGGCTTCTCTTCCCCTACGGGATCAGAGAAAAGGGTGCAGGTGAGGCTAGAGGTTGCAGAAATCCCGCTATGTCCCAAATCCTCTATTCTTGTGGTCAGGGTACTCTTTGGCTCCAAACCCATGCACAAGTTGCTGTTCTCATAGCAACGCTAATCCCTGTGCCTGAGGGCACTTCCGTCTAGCCTGGGTGCTGGTTGTGTTGGTGGGTGGGGGGGTTAGAAGAGAGACAGGTGCACCTGCAGAAGGAAATTGCCTGGTCCTCATGCCACCACACCCAGCTAGCCTTTCATGCCCCAAATCCTTGGTGTGATCAGGCAGATCCCCAAGGAGCCTGAATTACCCCCCACCTCCCACCCCTCTGTAATTTCACTGCTACAACTAAGACATCCTTCTGCATGCTGACCTACAGTGTATGTGTTGAGGGAAAGGTGTTCAGGTGGAAAACAGATTGACAATCTAAGCCCTTCCCAGTAGATGAGCCTGGAGCTGCCCCTTGAGGGTCAGTCACAAACCAGCCCAGCCTACTTCCTCCCGTTGCACCATGGGCATCTGGCCTCCCAGGAAGTGGGGCAGGAAGCGTGGTCATAAGATTGAGGTGGGGTGGGAGGTAGAGGCTTCCCTCTCGCGGAGCCCTCCTCATCTTGGCCCAGTGATCTCTCCTTGCCTTCCCAGTCCATCAGCCCCTTGCTTAGAGAGTTCTTCATTTCCAGCCACCACTAGTCTGGGGGCTTTACTTTACTAGCTCTCCAGATGCCTGGAAACAGAAGTGGCCACACAAGAAGTTGCTCTGTCTCCTCTGCCCAGCAGAAAGCCAGATGGCATATGTCAGTCTATACCTTCAACTCACCCCTCCACCCAGCTCTTCCTGTACCTTGTCCCTGGGTCAGGAGCAACTCCCCAGGACAGCTGACTCAGCCGGACATTGGCCTCCCTTGCAGGGGGTGGGGAGACTGGGGTTCCAAGCATCCATCTCCCCATCTCCCTGGGCCTGGCCTTGGAATGAGACAGCTATAGGAACAGAAAATTTGGCTTCTCCTGGTTTGCCAGGCAAATGAACATTGCGGATTTGTTTCCTCCCATCCCAAGACCCAAGGAAGAGCTGCCAGCTCAGTCTGTGCCTCTTCTTCAATTCTTCTTCCCATCCTGATCTCCAGATGGGGCTGCAGTAGGTTGCTTCCACTGCTGTGGAAGAATTAGGAAGCTCTTTCAAGACCTAAGCTAAGCGGCTTTCTGCTCCCTAATACCACCCTGCTGTCTGCCCTGAGGAATTAGCCGGGCCCCTCTGAGCCCTCTGAGCTTGCTTTTCTTCCCAGTCCCTCTGGTAAAGTTCCCCAAGGCCATGCTGAGCTAGTTTTCATCTCCAAGAATATGGATAGAGTCATATTCTTGCGCCTCCACATCCTATTTATCTGGAAGAAGGCTTAGCCTCGTTTCTCCAGCTCTTGTCTTGAATAAGTGGCCCTATTGCTTTCACCCTTAGCTCAGCCATGTCTCTTTCTGCCCAGCTATTATATATGGGTGGCAACCAACACCTTTATTATTGTTTTCTATGCACACGTTTCTTTGGGGGTAGAATGGGGGATGAAGAGGAAGGTGGAGGGAGAAGAGGGAGGCTCCAGGTATTCCAGGAGGAATCTAGGGTCTTCAGCTCAAGGTGATCTGGTCTCTGAGGTGGTCTAGCTCCCCAGTTCTCCCTAGCAGCTGCAGGCCCCTGGAGAGGCAGGGTTGGAGGGGTGCACTTCCTGTCATAAAGCCCTGAGCTAAGGAGGGACCAGAAGCCAGCCTGCAGCTGAGGCCTCCACACTGCCAGGGCCCAGCTAGCAACTGAGCAGGCCAGATCTGTGGGGGGTGGCTCCAGAGACCTGATCCTATGCCCACATTACTCCCTCAGAGCTCCATCCAAATCGCATTTGAAGAGGTGCCCCAACTCCCACCGGGAGCCAGCATTAGTCACGTGACCTGCGTAGACCAATCAGAGCGCACCATGGTAAGGGTCTGCTGGGCACTGCCTTCTTTAGGGCCTAAGGAGGGCTGGTCCCAAGAGTTCCCTTTAGTCCAAGGGTTCTTAACCTGAAGTCCGTGCATGCCTTAGGGATCCAAGGATTAGCTTTAGGAGGTCTGAGAATCCCACTGAAGTTACATGCAAAATGTGGTACATGTGTGTAGATCTATATTTTCTGGAGAGAGGAGTCTTTGGCTTGCATCTGATTCTTTTATGGGTTTGTGACCTCAAAAAGGTGATCCCAAGGACAACTGAAGTGGGGAGGGGTCTGCTGACCCATTTAGGGCAGGGCAAAGCAGGGTTGAGCTCCCTTCCTCCGTGCCTGACCCTCCTTCCCTCGCCTGTCTCAGGTGCTGCATTGCCAGCTCTCTGCTGAAGAGGTGATGTTCCCAGTCTCTGTGACCCAGCAGTCCCCCGCTGCCGTCTCCATGGAGACCTACCACGTCACTCTGACACTGCCACCAACACAGGTGGAGGGGGATGTGGGAAACTGAGTTGGGCAGGGGGTGGTTCGATTACCTCAGCCTTTTCAGTTTGGTTCCTGTCTAGGATGGAATTTGGGAAGGAAGGGTCCTGGGGAGTTGGGAGTAGTTGGAGGAGTGGGGCAAGTCAAGCCAATCCCTTTGTCCCTTGTCCCTAGTTGGAAGTCAACCTGGAGGAAATCCCTGGTGGGGGACTGCTTGTATCCTGGGCCTTCACTGATCGCCCAGATCTCAGCCTGACGGTGCTTCCCAAGCTGCAGGCCAGGGAGGTAAGGGGGTAGGGCTGGCGGGGAAGAAGCACAGCAAGGAGAGGGAGGCAGAGCTGGAGGCCCCACCTCTTTGTTCTCCTCTTCTCCTCCCTGCAGAGAGGTGAGGAGGAAGTAGAGCTCTCCACTATTGAAGAACTGATCGAGGATGCCATAGTCAGCACCCAGCCAGCCATGATGGTCAACCTCAGGGCTTGCTCTGCCCCTGGAGGCCTGGTGAGTAGGCACTCAAAGCAAATAGTTTGCATGCATACTGTCCCCAGGGTACTATGTTGGGATTCTTGCTCTTTTTACCTCCTTCTGCTCTTAGGTACCGAGTGAGAAGCCACCCATGTTGCCCCAGGCCCAGCCAGCCATCCCCAGACCTACCAGGTTATTCCTACGGCAGCTTCGAGCATCTCACCTGGGGAGTGAGTTGGAAGGTGAGAGCTAGAAGTGGCTAGGGGATGGCCTCTCTATTCCTTAGTGGCTTCCCATCTTTGATCTGAGCATCCTCTAATTTCTGGTCTTACAGGCAGTGGGGAACTGTGTTGTGTAGCTGAACTCAACAACCCCATGCAACAGAAGTGGACCAAGCCCATGAGGGCTGGCCCAGAGGTGGAGTGGACCGAGGACCTGGCACTGTAAGGAGTGACTCCCCCACCCCCACCCCTGCTCCCATGGACACACTGAGGCTCAAACCCTTCCAGCATAGCCCTGGCATGAATCAGCTCTGTTTTCAGTAAACCTTGGTGTGAGCCCCTATTGTATGCCAGGCCCAGCCTAGGTCCTGGGGATACAGACCTGGCCAAGATACACCCCCACATCCTACTGCTGAGTTGATTGCAGGCTTGAGGCAGAGACAGATGTACATAAAGAAGATGGTATAAGTGTTCCAGTCGAGGTTTACACGAAGCGCTTATGTGATCCCACATAAGGATCAGAGTAGGCTTCATGGAGGAGGTGGCATTTAAACTACATCTTAGAGCAAGAGCAGGATTTGAACAGAGTGTGAGAGAAAAGTATTCTTGGCAGAAGGAGCAGCTTGAGCAAAAGAAAGAGGGTGTTTGGACATGGAGAGACTAGGAAGGCAGGATGGGGCAGGACCAGGGAGGCCTTGAAGGCCCAGCTGAGGAGTACGGTCTCCACTCGAGCCTTGTCCCATTCTCTTGAGAAGAGAGTATTTGGAGGCAGGAATTAATCTGATTGGGGCACTTGTCCCATCTTATTTATGTGCAGCTCCCTCTGCCTCTGGTCTGTGATCAACTCAAACGTGGATTCAGTTTGCTAATCTTCCCCCTCCCTGCCCCATCTCCTCTTGGCCACAGGGATCTGGGTCCCCAGAGCCGGGAACTGACCCTCAAAGTGCTGAGGAGCAGCAGCTGTGGAGACAGTGAGTATGGGGCAGGGAGGGGTCCCTCTGGGTGGGTGCTGAGTGGGGCCTGGTCATGGGCCCAGCTCACTGTGCCACCCCCTTCCCCAGCTGAACTCTTGGGCCAGGCCACACTGTCTGTGGGCTCCCCTTCCAGACCACTATCCAGAAGACAGGTGTGCCCACTCATTCCTGGGCCAGGGAAAGCCCTGGGACCGGCAGCCACCATGGCAGTGGAGGTGAGAAGCTGACCCTTGGGAGAAGGTGGGGGCACACAGGGGAAGGGCAGTCTTTGAGGCCCTGCCTCTTTGCTCTTCCACCCCTCGGCAGCTTCAGTATGAGGAGGGCTCCCCCCGGAACCTGGGCACTTCCACCCCCTCCACTCCACGCCCCAGCATCACGCCCACCAAGAAGATTGAGCTGGACCGGACCATCATGCCCGATGGCACCATTGTCACCACGGTTACCACTGTCCAGTCCCGGCCCCGTGTAGACGGCAAATTAGGTAAAGAGGAGGAGCCCAGCTCTAGCCAGGGGCCCCGGACTGCAGATCCGTGGCAGGACAGGGAAAGGGCAGGGGAAGCCCTGCTTCCAGCTCCCCCTATTCTCCGACCACATCTTCCTCATTATCCTTGTTTCCGTCAAACTTTCCCTTACATCCCTCCATTTCCCAGCTGTCCTCTCCCCCTTCAATCCTGGATCTGCCAGCCCCTCATACAGGACTCCTGCTCTTCCAGCTCCCCAAGATCCCCCTTGTCTTTTCACAGATCTCTTCCCTTCCCCCTCTAGCCCCAACTGCCTAATTGTCCCTTCCTCTACCCTCAACATTCCAGCCCCCTGGGGGATCCTCTAACAAACCCAAAGGCCTCTGTGTATTTCTCCCACTCCCAGGGGCCCTCCATGACATTTCTCCCATCTCTAGGGGTCCTTTGGAAGTCCCCCTACCTCCAATGGACCCCTGTGCATCTCCGTATACTCACGATATTTTCATGGCATCTCTCCACACCCTCAGTGGGCCTCGTGGCATTTTGGTTCCTGTGGTGTCCTTTTGTCCCTATGGCATCTTCTTAATTACCCCTGTGATTAATCATCCCTTAGTCACCCCTGCCCTCTGAGTCAACCAAAGTCTCAACAAAGACAGTAGGGGGTGGGGGCCACTCTAAAGCACCTCGCAGCTCACTGACCCTCCCCCACCCACCAGACTCCCCCTCCCGCTCCCCGTCCAAGGTGGAGGTGACTGAGAAGACAACAACTGTGCTGAGTGAGAGTGGTGGCCCCAGCAGTACCTCCCACAGCAGCAGCCGTGAGTGGGGAATTGGGAAGTGTGAGTGTTGGTTGGCACCGGGGCCCCAGGGTCAAAAACCGCTTTGGATGGGGCACAGTTCAAGTCCAGGAAGGAGCCAGGGAAGAGACAGGTTATCTGTCCTCTGTACCTCCAGCAGGGGAGAGCCACCTTTCCAACGGCTTGGACCCTGTGGCAGAGACAGCAATTCGCCAGCTCACTGAGCCCAGCGGGCGGGCAGCCAAGAAGACACCCACCAAGCGTAGCACTCTCATCATCTCTGGTGTTTCCAAGGTAACGGGGCTCTGGGGAGAAGAGCTGGGATAGGGAGAAAGCCCTAATGGGTCACTCCTGCCCATTAAAACTTGTCCCTCTTGCCAGGTGCCCATTGCTCAGGACGAGTTGGCACTGTCCCTGGGCTATGCGGCATCCCTGGAAGCCTCAATGCAGGATGATGCAGGGACCAGCGGAGGTCCCTCTTCGCCTCCCTCAGACCCACCAGCCATGTCCCCAGGGCCCCTAGATGCCCTCTCCAGTCCCACGAGTGTCCAGGAAGCGGATGAGACAACACGTTCGGACATTTCTGAGAGGCCATCGGTGGATGATGTTGAGTCAGAAACAGGGTCCACTGGTGCCCTGGAGACCCGCAGCCTCAAGGATCATAAAGGTGAGGAGATACTGGCAGCCCCCCCTCTTCTTTTATACCCAGTATCATGACCTGGGTCCAACCGGATACTGAGGGACATGGGAGCCTCCAGCCAGTTTGCCTTCTCCTTCCTCCCCTAGGGATCACTAGAGTTCCCAGCCTGGTTCAGCCAAACTAGAGTAGAAGGGGAACTTGATGCCTTGGGGCCTGGCCTGGATCTGACAGGCTTGAGTGATAGGAAGGGATGCCAAAGTATTTCCCCTTTCATCCATTTTTCTTTCTTCCTGAGTCTAAGCACATATCTTCCTTCCCTCATTCTTTTTTTTTTTTTTTTCTTCCCTTTCATTCTATACTCTCTCCCCAGTGAGTATAAGAAATTCTACCCTGGGCCAACCCTAGGAGTGTCCCTCTGGCAGTGACACAATCCGTGGATAGCTGTGGTGCTTCTAACTTCTAAGGATGTGGGGCTTGCTCCCAGACATCTTCATCCCTCTGCCAATGAGTCTGTCAACCACGAATGTATTTAACTATTTATGATTTAAGCTTGCATCACTTCTTGAGATAATGAGACTCCTAAGTCCCAAGCCTGCTGTGTAAGCACCTTCCTCAGTATGATGGTCCTGAATTCACCTCTTTGAAGTTTTCCAGACACACAGCTTCCTGCTCACATCCTGGAATTTGGTAAACAAGTCAGTGTCAACCCACCTTGTTCCTTCACGATTTCATAAGCTTCTAGGAAAAGCCTTTGCTCAGCCTTTATGTTTCCATAGTAAAGAGGCCCAGTCGTTAAGTCTGTCCTCACAGAGCAGCCGGCCCCATGACGTTCCTCCTCAGGGCCAGTAGGCAGGGGTGCACACAGTCCCATGAGCCCTACCATCTTATTCTCAGGAAGGATAAAGGGCGTGTTTTGTCTCTACTTTTTTTCCTAAGGAAGGCTGATTTCTAGGCCAAGGGACTGGTTCTGTTCTACATCTTCGACCCCTCCATGCTTGGTCCTTTCTCTGCACCCCACCTCACCCCACCCCCATTGTGCCCCTCTCTCTGTCTCAGCCTCCCCTCTTCCCCCACAGTGAGTTTCCTGCGCAGCGGCACCAAGCTCATCTTCCGCCGGAGGCCTCGACAGAAGGAAGCTGGTCTGAGCCAATCACACGATGACCTCTCCAACGCGACAGCCACACCTAGTGTCCGAAAGAAGGCTGGCAGTTTTTCTCGCCGCCTCATCAAGCGCTTTTCCTTCAAATCCAAACCCAAGGCCAATGGCAACCCCAGCCCCCAGCTCTGAGGGCCCTCCTCACCTCCTGAGCTAGGAGAGGGCAGGAGTACTCTCAGCCCCTTCCCCACATCCCCTTCCATTCCCCTTCCTGGATTCCCAGCAGCCTGGGCCGGGGAAGCCCTCTGGGTTCCAGGAAGCCCTGTCCACTCTGGGCTGTGGGGCCAGTTGGAAGGGTTCTTGCAAAGGGAAGCTTGTGAGAGCTGAGGACATAGAAGAGGGAGTGGGTGGCTGGGAGTAAGAGGAGGGCTCTGTCCTGGCATGTGTGGGCATTCCTCAGAACTGTTTGCCTGCTGTTGACTCTGGCCCCTCAGTGGAGTCCCAGGGTGCTCAGCTCCTCAGCTGATCCTTCCTTCCTTATTTATTCTCTTTTCTATTTATATGTGTGGTTCAGGATCCTCAGTGAACAGATGATAGAGGGCATCTCTCCCAGGTGACCCTTCTTTCCTGTCCCAGAAGGGTAGGCAATGCCCTTTGGGATGGGGCTCCCACACCTCCCTCAGGTCCCCACTCCGACCAGCACCAATGTCTGCCTCTGAGAACACTGGCAGCTTATAGAAAGCCGGGCCGGTGCCCGGGATGGGGGGCAGGTACTCCCCACCACCCTGCCTCCCCTTCTGCTCCTCATCCCTCCCTCCCCCTTTATTACCGTTTTTGTACTTGATGCCTTCTCTGTGAGCAGTGGCTCTGTTGGAAGGAGGGAGCCAGGAGCCTGGTGGGAAGCCTTCCCCAGAAAAAAATGGCTTTAGGGGCTTTATTTAAAGACTGTGTGATGATGGAGCAAGAGCAGGGCTGCACCTCTGTATGTGGGAGATGATGATGTCCATTGCTGTGTGATGGCTTGGAATTTAATTTATTAAATTAAAGTCAAATTGGAGTTTATAAACTGGACAACTGGTTATCCTTTGAAAGGCAAATGGGTAGTGAGGCTATGTGTTGATGGAGCAGGAGGATCAGAGACAGCGGCCCAGAGAGTGAGGTGGGGTAGGTGACACACATATTGGGTCTGCTAAGAAGTTCCTGCAGGGAGGAAGGCACATGTAGAGAGACGACTAGAAGAACAAGAGTCTTTGAAGGGTGAAGTTGTAGCAAAAACGTCAATCAGAAAAAAAATGTCAATTGGCTAGTACAGGCATCTTCATTCCCCTTTCTTGAACAGGCTGCTGCTTCCAGGATATAATAGAGCCCAGAGCATGGCCTCTCGATCTAGACTGCCCGGATTTGAGTCCCAGCTCCACTAATTACCAGTGTGACCTTGGGCAAATTATGTAGCCTTAGAGTGCCTCGGTTTTCTCATCTGTAAAATGGGGACTGCGCTAATGGTAGCTATCACTCGGTTGTGGGTGAGGTGTAAATGAGTAAAGTGCTTAGAACTCTGCTGACAAATAGTCAGTGCTGAAGAAGTGGTAACTGTTGCTTCAGAAGAGACAGATTGGGAGGGGGAAGTCTTATAAGGGTTTCATCATGCTAAAAAGCCTTTCATTCCCAAATGTGGGCAAGTTTCAAGGAGTTATGGATACTAGCAAACTCTACATCCCACATTCCTGTTCTCTGGGACCTTACACAGGGCTTGAACCAGGTTAGCTGCTGCAGGATGTCAGACAGAGCACTGGACCAGGGACGGAAAACCTGAGTGTGCCACAGACACACCAAGTGACCTTGAGCAGACCAGTTCTCCTTTCTTAACTTCAACTTCCTCATCTCTAAAATGAAGAGTGGCCTCGATAATCATTCAGGTCTGAGTTATCCAGCCTTGCTATTCTGACTTACCTACATCACAGGGGGTTCCAGACACAGGCGGCGCCTTTGGGTAGGCAGCATGGAATTGTTAATATTCCCCATGCTCCTGTTCATACTAGCCACAGAATGGGATAGTTAGAAAGAGTAGCAGAGTTTGGATACTTGGTTAATTTGTATATAGTGACATGCTCAACTCTAGGTCATGAAAACTCCAAGAGATTTATCAAGCTGCTTCCCCTGATCTAAGAAATGCAACTCTTAGTGGTTCACAGAGGAGCAGTTTGTTTGTTTACCAACATGACAAGACAGCCTAACACACTGAACTTGAAATTTCACAGGAAACTTTTGTGGGTGGGAGAGCACGTCCTCTGATTCCCCCTGGACCTGTGGCCTGAGTGGACGGGACCTGGAAGTTGTACTCAGCTTCCAGTGCTAAGCTGCCCAGAGCTCAACGGAATCACATATATTTTGTAGTGAAGAAGAGCCTGGTCATCTTCCAAAAATAGGGATTTTAAAAATGAATGCAAATTACATATATATGGTAACATAAAAACTAGACTATTGGTGGTGAACATAATGCAGTCTACACAGAAATTGAAATACAATAAGGTACACCTGAAATTGACACAATGTTATAAGCCAATATGACCTCAATTAAAAAACAAAGAAAAGAAAAAATTTCAGAGCAAATATCAAATCCAGGGCTGTACTTTGGTTCCATTGTTTAGATCTCAGGAGGATGTAAGATGATGCTTCATAGAACCTTTTAAATAGACAATAACAACAAAAAACATGAACACAAAAGAAACACAAAACAATTTAATCAACCGTTTCCATTTTACACTTTCGGAAGAGATCCATAGCTTTTGATGAGCATGAATTATGCTTTTAAGTTTTTGTGGCAGTTTTTAAAGAACAAATCTGAGTTATCCAGCCAAAATTGTGGCTTGTTTTCAAAAGAAGCAGATTGAGATGGAAGTAAACTATGCTAGACAGCAAGACACTGCCTCAAATTTTGGAAACATATGTGTGGATCTCAGAGCTATCGTGAAATTTTTGCTCTGTAAAAATTGTTTGAGTCTACACAGCTCTGTGAATGAACTTTTTCTTCATGAAGTTGCTAAATTAAAGCTAAGAGCCATCTTGTCTTATAAATGTCAATTAAAATAAGGTTGGCATTTCATGAAGTATTACTATAACTATGTGCTTTTGAATGAATAAAGTTGATAAAATATAATTGTTACTTTTGAATTATATTTTAAAATTCCTATTTTAAAATAAGGACAAAACTGCAATTCAGTGCTGTTAGTAACTAACTTCATGCACAAATTTCTGATTTTATTATGACTTTGTTATTTTTAATGATGTCTTTAAGTTCATTTTTTTTATATTGGGCATTTAATATGTTTTCTGATTATACAAACTATGTAGGATTATTTTTAGGTTAGAAAATATAGAAAAATATAACAGTAAAATAGGTATCAATCCCAATGAGCTTTACTAAGGTACATGACTTATTTAACAAATATGTTTTGAACCCTTACTGAGTTTCAGCCACTAAGCTAAGTGAAGGGGTTATAAAGGTGAAGAACGCATACAATCCCTGCCCTCCCTCACTGAACTGAGTCTGAGGAATGCAGACAAGTAAACAGGCAAATACTATACAACGTGATAGAGCCCTTATGGGGAAATACAGGAAACGGATGTCAAGGAAGACTTCTTGGAAAAAGAAGCATCTTCACTGAGACCTGAAGAATGAGTAGGAATCAGTCAAATTTACGTGGGAGAGGGAGACAGGGAAGTGTTCCACGCAGAGGAAACAGCAAGTTGTACAAGGAAGGAGAGGTAAAAGGCGGCTAGGTGTGGTGGAGAAACTGAAAGAAATTTGGGGCTGAAGAGCAGGAAGTCAGGTGGAGAAGGACTCAAGACACAGTTGGAGAAGTATGCAGGGCCCAGATGCTGAAAAGTGTAGAAAGCCTCAGCACGGTTTTGGGGTTTTGGCCTAAGGGCAACGGAATGCCTTAGAGTGTTTAAGAGGGGGATGGTGGTTTGATCTGATCTGCTCTTTGAGTGCTCTTTGGAGAATGGTTTGGTGGGAACCAAGAGTGTACACAGTGGAACCAGTTGTTAGTGTAGACATCAGGGCGGGACGTCGTTAATGGACTAGGGCGGGAACGGTGAAGATTAAGAACGCAGGATGAGTTTGAGAGATCCTGTGTTTAAAGAGGTAGAATTTGCAGGACTTGGCAATGGACTGGATGTAACGGGTGACGGAGGAATCAGGGATGACTACCGGCTTTCCGACTCGGAGCGGATGGATGACATGGTCTTTCACTGAGCCTAGCCACACAGAAGGCAGAGGTGTGCGGGAAAGACAGCATGGCACAGGAAAAGCAATATTTGAGAGATAAGAAGATTAAGAGGGTGAAGGATAGAGGTAAGACCCTCAGTTTGGGTCGAGCAGGGCTGGCACGCTGAGCAGCCAACCTCCCACACCTCCTCCTCGCTGCCCACGTGGCCGGCTAACGCAGCAAGCCCGGCAAAGAGGAGAACCCCGCTCGGCGACCAACGCGAGCCTTGCGCATGCCCACTGGGTGCCGTGCGCCGAGCCTGCGCAGTTGGGGGAATTCGGGCTCTTGGGTTCCCTGCCTGCGTCCCGCCGGGAGCCCCGCGACGCCGGCAGCGCAGCCTTTCCCAGCAGCCCGCCGCCCCTCGCTCCCGCCCCTTCCGTGTTTTGGTCGCGCACGGGTTCCGTCAGTCGCAGCGACCATTGGCTGTTGGAGAAATCCAAGAGCGGCGATTGGCTGTCGCTGTCCGTCGCTCAAGCAGGAGATGGTCCGAGGTGAGAGCAGAGCTGGAAAGACCCGGGAGCTGAGGAACGGTAAAGTGGGGCTGTGCACTTGGTCTGGGTTGCAGAGTGGGTGGGCTTTGAGGCCAGGCTCTTCCCGAGTCGCCTCGTCGAGGCTTCCTCTTGCAGTTCGGCCACTCTGGTATGCCTGGCTCCTGCAGCGCCCCGGGTCCCTGACCCCGGCTCGAACCACCCCGCCTGCTCGTCAGGGGTTTCGCTGCCGCTGAGCCACGGTCACCGCCACGCCTTAGGGGGAAGGACCCCGGGAAGCCTGCGGGGCTGCGAGATCGAGCTGGTACCCGCCGGGATGGTCTCCTTTCTTCCCTCTGAATTCTACCCGTCCTTCCAGGGGCCGGGTCCCCCTCGCTTAGGGCAAGCCTTCCCTGCCTCGCCTGCCCTCTGGGGTTTTTCTGTCCTGATCTCCCTCATCTGGCGCTTTGTTTTGGTCGTTGTCTTCACACGTCAATCTTATCTCTTCTGCCAGACTGTGAGTTCTTGGGAGAGTCAGGACCTGGGCTCCTCTTTCTCTTGAATGCCATTCAGGGTTCATTGGGTGCCTTGCGTTGCAATATATACTCTGAAGTATTTGCAGATTGCTTCTTACGATGACTCCTAATGAAAAGAAGTGTTAGGAATCCCTCAGGTTGTCCTCTAGGAGAACTTTTTTGTAGAATTTGTGCTTAGATCATCTCATTCTCAGAAGCAAGGGTACAAATAACTAACACTTGTTGAGTTCTAGCGGTATGTTATGCTAAGCATTTTAATATCCATTATCCAGTTTAATCCATAAAGCAATTCAGTGAGACAGGCATAGTTATTCTCATGCTACAGGGGAAACTGAAGCTTAAGTCACTTGCTTAAGGTCGCATAGCTGGTAAATGTTGGAGCTTCTAACCAGATTTCTTGAATTCCATCACCCATTGCTCTGATAGTAATATCTCATTTTATATTTAAGGAAACAGGTTCAGAGAAGCTAGGTGATTTGTCCAAAAATAAAGTGAGAAGTTATAGATTTACTTAAACATTAAAAGAGCTCATAGTAGGTATGTGCTGGCCCTCTAGTTAGAACTGAACAGGGCACAGGCCAGGCTTTCTAGGAGCTCACAGCTAATGAGGAAATTGACAAAATAACTACTTAAAACATATTTTGAGTATTGTGTATACAGATATGATGTCTCTGGGGAGGAGGGAATCAGACAAGGAGAGGCAAGACAGGCAGATGTTGGAGGAAAATGGAACTGAACTCTCTGGCGTTGAATTCTGACTCCATCACTTCCTGGCTTTGTGACCTTGGGTAA